CCAAGCACGATAGGTTAAAAGAATTAGCCTAATTTAATAAAAATTAATATAGATACATGTTAAGTGTTGGACACAAACTTCAATGAAGTATAATATGAAGAAGCCTAACTCAGTAGTACATGAATACTTTTAAAAGCATTCACTTTGGTAAATTTTTTTTAAAGATTTTATTTATTTGACAGACAGAGATCCCAAGTAGGCAGAGAGACAGGCACTGGAGAAGGGAAGCAGGCTCTCTCCTGAACAGGCACTGGAGAGGGGAAGCAGGCTCTCTCCTGAACAGAGAGCCTGATGTGGGGCTCAATCCCAGGACCTGAGCCAAAGGCAGAGGCTTAACCCGGTGAGCCACCCAGGGGCCCCATCACTTTGGTAAATTTTAATCTTATTAGGAATGAAAGGGATAATATTGCTGCTCCAAAAGTTAATGTTCTCCCAAGATCCACTTAAAGAAACAAACTATGTAAAATATAGGTGATAAGAATCTCATTCTATTTTGTTGTCTGGATGTCACTTTGCTCAGTACAGGGCACCTGACTTCAGGAAAAACACTGGCATAATGAATCTCGTTTATTAGCATGCACAATGGATAAGGAACATTGAAGGAATTTATATATACCCAGGTTGGTGGTAGTGGTGGTGGTGGAGGAAGTGGAGAGCCCTTGAGGTGAAGGACAGGATGATGCTCTTCAAGTACTTAACTCTTTTGTGCAATCAGTCTAATTACATTCTGCAAGAATACAAGGGTCAAAATACCGAGATGTGCTGAGAGCCTACTATATGCCAGGTCCTTTGCAATAGCTGGGTATTGTAAGGCAGTATGTTTCTGAGTAAATCTAACAAAACTGGGAAGGGAGTTAATATTCCCTCACATGAGGAGTCCAAAAAAAGGTTCTCTAATCTGTCTGTACCTTTGTATCTAATTTAACTGGCTTGAGGGTAGAGCCTAGGTATCAGAATTTTTTCGAAGTTCCCTAGCTATTTTTTTTTTTTTTTAAGATATTACTTATGAGAGAAAGAGACATAGCGGGCAGGGAGAAGAGCAGAGGAAGAGAGACAAGTAGACTCTGTGCTGAGCACAGAGCCTGATACAGGGCCTGATCTCAGGACCCTGTGAGCACGACCTGAGCCAAAACCAAGAGTCAGATGCTTAAGTGACTGAAACACGCAGGTGCCCCACTCCCCAGCTATTTATAATGGTCAGTTGGGTTTGAGAAAAATTAGGCTAGACAACTGTCTGGATATAAATGAGAAATTAAAATGGAGAGGAAGGTAAATGGAAATTAATATCTATTACATATTAAATGCCAGGCATTATGCTTGGCATTTTCACACTCTAACCTGTATTAACTATGTCAATACTTGGAATCTTTTAATACAGTGCCTGGCACATAGTAAAATCCCAAATGCTTTCTACAATCTTATAATGGCATTCTCCAAATACATCCTGGGAGAATATTGGCTTACAATATAGGTATTAACATCCCTGCATTATGGACAAGGAAACCAAGGCTCAGAAAAGGTTTTTCTTTTGGCTAATGTGGTAGGTAATAGATCGTAAAACTGTGATTTAATCCCCGTTTAAAGCTAGTGTGTCCAGGTACCTGGCTAACTCAGCCAAATAAGAGCATGTGACTCTTGATCTCAGAGTTTTAAGTTCAAGCCCCATGTTGGGTGAAGATATTACTTAATAAAATCTTTGAATAAACAGATAAATAAAATAAAGCTAGTGTGTCTTCTCTGTCTCTTAAGGCCACTAATAAGACATCTGGGTATTTATGAAAATTAGCAGCTTACTTAAGTGGCCCTTTTTACTTTTAACAGAACCATTTCTTCTTCACCTATTCTCAAAAAAAATAATAATAATAATACAGTAAATGCAAATACTGAAAAAGTGAAGCCAAAAAAGTAGACATTTTCCTAGTGTGGCCTAACACAAACTCTTCTGTAAGTCTTGAGAACCCCAGAGGCCAAAGAAAATGTATTAAAGTGGCCCTTCAGAACTGAATAAAACACTTCAAGCAACATGGAGAAAGTACTACTCACAAATGAAATATCTCCCGTATATATAGTGAATAGATAAATATTATATCCATCACATTCACAGTCTAGGACTTCAATTATATATTAAGGGGAAATTAGCCCTGAAAGGACAGTCATGATCATCTCTGACTTCTTTTTGCCAAGTTAATCCTGAGTTTTCTTTTTTTTTTTTAAGATTTTATTTATTTATTTGACAGAGAGAGATCACAAGTAGACAGAGAGGCAGGCAGAGAGAGAGAGAGAGAGAGAGAGAGAGAGGGAAGCAGGCTCCCTGCTGAGCAGAGAGCCCGATGCGGGACTCGATCCCAGGACCCTGAGATCATGACCCGAGCTGAAGGCAGCGGCTTAACCCACTGAGCCACCCAGGCGCCCCAATCCTGAGTTTTCTTTTGTACATGATTGGTTTGAGTATTACTGAAGAGGAAACATTCAAGGAAAAAATACCCCTTCAATGAGACAGTGAGCTCCCCAAGAGCAAGGACAACCTTTACTTTACTATCCCATATAATCCTTAATAAGCACTATAAAATAATAATTGCGGCAAGGCTGCACTGCGAGGCTACACTACTTTTCAAAAATAAAATATGCTTCAAGTGGTGAGCATTAAATTTACTTGATGCAATGCTAGATTCAGATTTTTTCTGTTGCCTGACCAATTGGTAAAATTTAGAGCCTATGTTAACATACACAAAATGGTATATTTGATAACAGAAATTTTCTTTTTTGAGCTTCATTTTTGTAAACCAAAGATACAGAACACTTTATTCTAGAAAAATATGAAGCTATAGGTCCTAAATATCAATTAGAGACTCCTTTAGATAACCCAAAACTCCTAGCGCCAATTTGACACCCAAATGTACTCTACTTAGAACCAGAAACATAATTGTACACACTCTGTTTTACAAAGTAACGAGTATATTTTTTATATATATTACTTATTTGTCAGAAAGAGAGAGCACAAGCAGAGGGAGCAGGAGGCAGAGGAAGAAGCAGGGTCCCCACTGAGTAAGGAGCCCTTCACAGGACTCGATCCTAGCTTCCCAGGATCATGACCAGAACCAAAGGCAGACACTTAACAGACTGAGCCACCCAGGCACGCTGTGAAGTAGTGAGTATATCTTAAGGTACTCATGGAAAAGTTGATAGGAGACATTTCATTTTTACACCTTTTTTTTTTTTTTAATCCATTGGCATCTAGCAATACTTTACCCATCTTAAATTCTAACTAGATAACCCTTGTCTTAAAGTCACAAAAAAATTTCACAGGGAGAAAGTTTCACATGTATTTTATACACTTTTGAGATATCCAAGAAGGGTAGAACCATGCTGTCCATCTAATTTAAAATTTACCCGTAGCCACAAATAAATGGGAAAATTTTACTAATATACTTAACCAATGTATCAAAAATATTACCATCTCAACATGCAATCAATATACACAATTGAGGTATTTTACAGTTTTTCCATACTTAAGTCTTTGAAATCCGGTGTTTATTTTACACTCAGAGCAGACCTCAATTTCGACTAGACACATTTCAAGTGCTCAGTAATTATTGGTGGCTAATGGCTACTGTATTGGACAGCACACATCTAGAGTCTAACTCCTATCTCCAGTGTAACAGTTACCTTAAAATATACAAAAATAAAGCACATAATTGTTGATCCAAAGTTAAGTAATGCTCTGCTAAAATAGCAAGTGAAAGGTTAAATGTTATAGGATTTAGACTTTTCTAATAACTTAAAAAAGAAATTTACTTAAGAAAGGCTTTGTAGGGGCACCTGGGTGGCTCAGTGGGTTAAAGCCTCTGCCTTCGGCTAGGGTCATGATCCCAGAGTCCTGGAATCGGGCCCCGCATCGGGCTCTCTGCTTTGCAGGGAGCCTGCTTACCCCTCTCTCTCTGCCTGCCTCTCTGCCTGCTTGTGATCTCTGTCTGTGGAATAAATAAATAAAATCTTAAAAAAAAAAAAGGCTTTGTAAATTTTTTCCCCTCAATTTTACAAATGCCTTAAAAACCATCTTCTTCTCATTACTTCAAGTCTTTTTGGGTACTAGGGTATTTTGTTCTTTTTTTCCATTTGAGTTATTCATTTTATCATTCAATATTTATCTAGTAACAACTAAGTGCAAAATATGCTAGAAGCAGTGAGAGATATAAGATACCCCATCATCTCTGCTTTCACAGAGCTTACAAACTCGATAGAAAGGAAGTGAAAATATATTTGTATTTTACTGTATCACTGTGTCATTTGTCTGCTTATCAGTTTTTCCCCAATTCTTTAATAATAAAGGAAATGATTTTATCTTCTTATTCTTGTTATCTTCCCAAGGCCTGACAAAATGCCTTAGTAAGTATTTGTGGAATATGCTGTTAACAAACTATATGCTATTTTCTAAAACAAAAGTCCCTATAAATACACCAAGTACTAGAGAAGACATTTCATCTTCTCTAATGGGAACAGAAAAAATGTAAGGCAGAAGAGTTACCTCTGAGGCCTTGAAAAATTTGACAGGAATAGAAGGTGGGGAAGTTTGAAGAAAAGAATGAACAAGTTTTTACAGCTAAGAAAGTATGAGGATAGAAGAATTTATTACTTATGACACAAACTGTTTGCTTATTAAACGTGCAAGTGAATAAAAAAAGCCGGAATAACCTGAGAATATCATTTACAGAGACAGAAATGGAGGCTTTAAGGAAGTGAAGGAAGTGGTGGTATTGTACAAGCTATATGGAAAAAAGTGGTATCATGAGTATGCACTTGCAACTGTTAACATTTTAAAGCCAAACCCAGAATCACCACCCTCCCAACCTTGTAAGGTACAAGCAGTGTGCCCTAGTTTCTTACTTTTGGGATAATGTCTGTTGTATCCATTTTTAGAACTTTAAGTTCTATAATCTGTTGTTATTTTAAGCAATTTCTTCATGCAAGTTTATGCGCAGGGTGAAAAATAAGAAATCTAGCAGCTTAACATGCTTTTATTTTACTATGACGCATCCAAGGAAAAACAAATATGCCAATGGTACATTTTCAATTTGAACAGAGCAATCTCACAAGTATTTATATTTAGGAAAAAAGATGCATCAATTTCTAAGTTGTAACCAGGATAAATTATCAAGCAAGACAATCAAACCAAACATCTTTTGTAGGTTATTCTTCCATGAAGACAACAATCTCCAGTCTTCAGAATCTGACCAAATCAAATTACTCAAATTCTATGTCTAAGGATACAGTTTTAACAGAAGTAAGAAGTCGAAAACTCTCATATTCATTTAAGTCTCTGTATCTTACAGGAAAGTAAAATAGTTATATTTTCCAAATATTCCCAATTGAAAGCAAAAAGAAAACCTATACAACTCAATTTTCTCAGTAATTATTTTACTAAACACTAGAAAAACAAAAAACACAGTATTAATCTTTTGCATAAATTAAATCAAATGAAAACAAGAGAAAGCTCCAGAAGTTGCTTTGTTTCCTTTCTCTTCTCTAGAAGTACACTTCACACTCCAATCCCTCTCAATTCACCCATGGAAATCCCGAGAAAAAGTATTTCTCCTCCCATTACCACTGAAAGAGAAAACCTCTTCCTTGAAGGCTCTGTCAGCCACTCTTAGCCCAATTTTTATCTTGCTCATTTTTTGCCTGTGGTCATCTGCTCAGTTTTCCCCGCTTAGGGAACCCATCAAAATCTCGGGTTCTTCCATCCACTATAAACTAGATATAATTTTTCATTTAATCTAGATCTGTCTCCCTTTAAATCCTCTAGGTGTTGCTAAAGGAGTGGAGAGTGGGGAAGAGAGCAGAGGGAAAGAGCTCCAGCAGTCTATTTTACAGGACAACCTATCCCTGAAAATAATGAAGAGCTAAAACCAAATTAAACTAAAAGGCCTGCTTCTGCAGACGCTTTTGAGCTATTTTTTTTTTTTTTTTTTCTTCTTTAAGAGACAGGAGACAGAGAGAAATTGTACTGCCACCCTGGCATTTAATAGCGTTCAGGGTTAAGGAGAGGAGGCACAAGAGGTATACCTAAGTTTCATGTGAATTTACTAGTTGAGGCCGAGAAAGCCTGGTAATTAGAATGGACACCATCCTTACTCTTGCCATAAGAATAAGGTTTAACATGTCATTTTGATCACTAGCTTGACAGTTAGTAGTGTTCTGGATCACGAAGATGGAGGGAAGGGGAGGTGAGGAAATCTAGATCTTTTGGGGGGAGGAAGAGAAGGGTGTTTGTATGCTGGCAGGAAACCTGGGTCCCCCGGCAGTTCTAGAGATTCTTGTCTACCAGAAACCAGACAGTGGGGCCAACAATTATCTGCAAGGTAGGCAGGGGCCCAAGGTGGGTAGGCACGGCCAGTAGTAGGGAGTAGGAAGTGACCAGAGGTGCAAGAAGAGCAATGGAATTACATAAATCACATAGACTAAGTGGCACGCTGCTGCTCTCTCTGTCCCACAATTGTCTACAGGCTACATGCCTGTACTAAAGAGCAAAGTGGGTAGAATGAGCTTCTAGGCAAAGCTAGAATTCCAGGTGCTAAGAGCCAGACCAAAGGCCCTGGGAACAAACAGGGTCCATGCAGTGCAGATAAAGGTAATGCAATTTACAGCATCATGTGCTTGGCCTAGGAGTAATGTGAATCATGACCATGCAGCATGTGACAGTAATGAAGAATGGCATGAAGGCCATATGGAAATGGAGGACCATGGCCTTCAAAGTCTCAGTCTTGAGGTCGAGAAAACAATGTCCAGAGGAAAAAGGCTGTAGAAACGTCAGGGGGGAAAAAAGGCATACCCATTTCTGTTGTCCGAGCACAGGTCCAGCAAGAGGTGGTAGGGGACCTTGTGCAGTATTTCCAAAGGCAGAGATTAACCAGACTGGAATCCAAAGGGCCTGGGGATCTCCACTGGCTCTCTTATTGGGCGACGTCTGGCTCTGCGGACTCCTTCACGCAACAGGTAATACTGCAGTGGATTGGGCCACAAATCTTCTTTGATAATCTCAGCAATCTTGTCGGACTCTGGAAGGCTGTGGTCTGAAAACCAGGTGAAGAAATTGCAGACGACATCTTGGTTCCGGCGAATGAAGGACTGAGGTTCATGGCCCTGGCGCCATATGATGGGAGTAGAAAGAGACACCACTCGGCCGGAGGCTCTGACCTCGTATTCTTTGACAATAAGCTTGTTTCTGAAGTAAGGGTTTCTTCGAAAGAAGAACTTGAATTTGCAGCCAGTTCTAGGGTGTCTGAGCTCCTTGACCTCCAAATTGGTTATGTATCTTAGCATCTCTGCATCTTGGCCCCTAATCATGGGGGACAACTGGGGGTGGTTCCGGAAGGCAGTGACCCAGAAGCCCGGGATATTCTGAATGATGTAGTTTCTCCTCTCCAGGTAGTGCCGACGCATCCGCCCAAATTTATGCTCCAGTTGCTGAAAGGCCCTGTCGGCCTGAGCATTCACAGTGTCCAGTTCCATCTGGATGGCTTCCAGGGGGTTCATGCGGAGATCCATATTCAAGGGTCGGGGCCCTGCTTCTTCCTTCTCCTCGTCCCCCACTCTGTTTTCCTCCATCATTTCTCTTTCTTCACCTACTTGCTTCTCCACCTCCATCTTTTGTTCCACCTCCTCCTCCTCCTTCACTTTTTCCTTCTCCACCACCTCCTCATCCACTGCTACCGAGGAAACGGTGCACTTCTCGGTCTCCACCTCCTCGGACTTCACCGCTGCCAACACCTCAAACCCGGAGCTCTCTGGCTTCTCCCCACCGGGGCCGCGCGGATCTCCGCTCTGACAGCCATTTTTCAGGCTGTTGTCCGTTGCCACGGACACCGGCACAGCTTCCAGGCCTTCCGCGAGAGGCGGAGCCTCCGCCTGCCCCGCTTCGGTCGCCTCGAAACCGCAATCCCCACCGCCTCGGATCGGGGCTGGGTGGTCACAGCCCGCGGGGACGTGGAAGGCTCCCCGCCCCTCTGGCAGCTGAGGCGGTGGGAGCGCCACCGCGTTCAAGCTTCCCGCACCCGGCTCCGCCATCACCTGTGATGCCTCGGTTTCCTCACGGAGCTTCAGGCTGTGGCGTGGGTCCGGGTCTCCTGGGACATCGCCGGGAGTCGTGAGACCTCGGGCTTGGGGGGAAGGGGACCTCTCAACCCCAGCCAGGACGCTCATGTCCGCAGCCCCAACAGCCCCACCAGCGGCCGATTAACGTCTGTTTTCCTCACAGAGACCGCCCGCGCGCCAGCCGGCGGTTCGTCCCGCCCACTCTCTACTCTCGCGAGCGTCTCCGCGAGGTTGACGTCAGGACCGTAGATCTCGCCCCAGTGCGGGAAGTTGGGATTTGCTCCGACCTTTCCTGTAGTTATATCGTATTTTTACTTGTGTGGGTTTAGTGGGGGTGAAACAGTAACTTGACTTATGTTAATAACTGTGTTTCGGAATGAGAGACTGAAGGCAGTGAGGACCCTCCCTGCGGTACCTCTGGAAACTGCCTCCAGCATGCTAGTTAGCTGGGTGAATTGTGGGGACCCCAGCACTATCCTGCCTGTCGTCGTCTGAAAACGTGTTTCATTGGTTTTGCATAGGAATTTTTCAGGCAGGAGTGTAAATCTATTCCTCGTTACCCCATAATGGCCAGGAGCAAAAATCTCTTTATTTTTAAACTAACATGAACAGCAAATTGTTTCTCTCTTCTCGAGTAGAAATCACTTTGGCCTCTAACATCACTGGGAGAAAAAACTACTCCGCGGCTTTTTACCGCTAAATGACGCGTAGTATTAGTCCTTGCTAGTTCTAAATTTATAATCTGCCTCAAAGAGGAGTTTGTGCTACATAATGTCTGCAGGGATTAAACCAGGGTCAGTTCGCTGGATCTTGCTCCGTGGCCTCTCACTGCAGGAAATTAGAAAAGTTATTTTCGGTCCAATAAACTATTAATCTATTCACGAATTGAGGTCTGCAGAGAGGAAAGGTTGGCCCGGTTGAAGTACGTATTCATGGCAGTCACCTCCCAGAGTTGAAGAGGGTTGTCAGTGGACCTGGTTGCTTTAGTTCGTTGGCTTGTGAAGAAAACTGGTGTTAAGAGAGTTCCAAGGCCTCAGAGAAATACCAGTGGGGGAGCTCCTGCCACGATTTTTATAAAGGAAAGCTAATTAAAATGAATAATTGAGGTAGTCTTGAAGTAGAAAACAAACTTGCAGAATGCCAGTGTGCAGTTAGTTGACTCAAAGTGCGAAATAGTCAAACTTTTTTTTTTTTCTATTTCCTTTGCCTTGGATTATAGGCTATTTTTTTTTTTTTAAAGATTTTATTTATTTATTTGTCAGAGAGAGAGAGGGAGAGAGCGAGCACAGGCAGACAGAATGGCAGGCAGAGGCAGAGGGAGAAGCAGGTTCCCTGACGAGCAAGGAGCCCGATGTGGGACTCGATCCCAGGACGCTGGGATCATGACCTGAGCCGAAGGCAGCTGCTTAACCAACTGAGCCACCCAGGTGTCCCAGATTATAGGCTATTTTAATAATGGCCCCCAAAGATGTCCTCCTCCTGGTCATCAGAACCTGTGAATATGTTCTCTTCTGTGGCAAAGGGGACTTAGCAGATATGGTTAGGTTAAGGATAAGGAGATGGGAAGATTACGCTGGATTATCCAGGTGGGACCCATGTAATGTATAATGGTCCTTATGAGAAGGAGGTTGGAGTGTCAGTCTTTGAATGTGTGACAATCAAAGCAGAGGTGAGAAAAAAAGAGATTTGAAGATGCGTGCTGTGGACTTTGAAGATGGAGGAAGGAACCGGGATCCACGGAATAAAGACAGCCTCTAGAATCTGGAAAGGTAAGGAAATAGATTGTCCCGTAGAGCCTTGAAGGAGTGCAGCACTGCCAACATCTTTGTGATGTCTAACCTCCAGAATATAAAAAATAATAATTTGTGTGGTTTTAAACTACTAAGTTTGTGGGAATTTGTTACGAAAGCAAATTGAAGTGAATACTCCATGGATTGAAATTTGGTTGCATCTCTGTGTGTGCTGTGTTTTGCCTAGCAGCCTCTCCTTCGTCCTTGCCCATTGCTTCCTTTTGAGGTCCTCCTTCCTGCCCAACAGCTGTGATGTATCACATCCTGAGCGTCTTTGGTTATCAAGACCAGAATTAGGCAATATCCAGAAAGAGAAAATTAAAGCCAAAACCTACGACAAAAATTATTTGAGAAGACTGTGAACTCCAGAAGGACAGGGTCATAGTTTTGTTTACCACTGTTTATCAAGTAGGTAGCACACTGCCTTGCACAGTGTTACATTATCAGAATGTTAAATACAGAAACAAGTGAACAGAATACAGTTTCTCCCTCGTGGTGCTTGGTGCTTGGCAATTACCGACAATTACTCTTGTAGATAAGAATGAATAATGGAATTTTCCACAAGGCCCACTTCTTTCTTATTGCCATGAAATCATCCTCTATTTTGGAACTGGAATAATCTAATTTGGCCTAAAGTGGAAACTTTCATTACTCTAATATGCCTTCTGTTTTTAAGCAGAAGACTCTATTGCCAGGCTTTCACCAGAACTAGATGTGACTTTATTTTTCAAGGGCACTATTATGTTTGTAAGTGTATTTAATTAGTGCTCTAACTGCTAATGTTAGGAAAGACTCCAGCAATAGATGGTGCATGTAAATGTAATCAGGATTCTGGTGAGTGTTAAGTGTTGAGACACTGTGGAGGAACCTTTCCTTCTCTAACTATCAGTACATTTGGAAAAGACATGATATGGGATATTTGGTTAAATATATACAAAAATGAGGAAAAACTTAAATTTCTGCTGATTTTAATTGTCTGAAAGTCCCACTGGAGAAATGATGTGATGATAACTCTTCATTGTAGAAGATGGGGAGTGTAAGTTAAAGTAACTTTTGAATAAGAGAAGGTCCAGTGAGAAACATGGTTTTAGAGGGAAAAGCAGATTTGTGTATTCTATGCCACTTTTTTTTAAGAGTTTATTTATTTATTTGACAGACAGAGATCACCAGTAGGCAGAGAGGCAGGCAGAGAGTGAGAGAGAAACAGGCTCCCTGCTGAGCAAAGAACCCGATGCGGGGCGGGGGGGGGGGGGGGGGGGGGGGTTCTATTCCAGGACCCTGAGATCATGACCTGAGCCGAAGGCAGAGGCTTTAACCCACTGAGCCACCTAGGTGCCCCTGCAACTTTTTAAAAAAATCTTTTAAGAAAGAATCTTTTCGTGGAAGAAGGAACTCTTTAGGATTTCAGTCTGCACCAAGTTTCATGTGGTCAAGGAGTTATCTTGCCATGCAGGAAAAAAAAATATGGTTGCTATTTGCCACAGAAAATTGTACTTAATATATTAATAATATTATTTGCAGCTATTACTTGGAGACTTTTTTTCTTATCTTTTTGAACCTAAAGTCTTAAAAGGAATATGTGTCTCTTTTACGTGACACGGTTATCTTGCTATCTAAAACATTCTTTTTAGGTGGATACTGTTCATTCTCTAAGACCGTATCACAAACCTGTCTTGCTTTAGAGTGTGCTAGGCATTTTATATGCATTAAATTGTCAAATTTTATAAAAGAGGAAGCAGTAACTGAGAGGTTAATGAACTTAACCAAGATCATACATAAAAACTCTTATATTCCTCCTCCTTTCTCCTAGGGGCCACTTTCCTGAACCACTCTATGACTCATTAATCTTCCCGCTCTGAATTCCTACAGCTCTTTTTATGAGCTGTGCCATGCAACTGAGCACTTAATTATATTCGTCCTCTTAGTGACTCTGCTTGTTTCCTGCATGTCAGTCTCAGCATTCCAGCATCTCAGTATCATTCCCTGGGAAAGGACACAGTTGCTTTTTCTTTTGCATTTACTCAGCATAGCATGGAGCTAAGATTTTAATAGATCCTTAATGATATTTGCTGATTTGAATAAACAAAACCTTAAATCATCTTACAAAAACTAACAATGTGTCCGTACTGGCATTATATTTTATTTTATGGGGGAGTATATTTTAGCTCTGCTCCATATATTACCTTTTTGCATTTTTTAAAATTTAAATTCAGTTAATTATCATATAGTGTATTATTAGTTTCAGAGGTAGAGTTCAGTGATTCATTAGTCTTATATAATACCCAGTGCCCTTTTGGCATTTTTTAATATAAGATATATTTTTACCTTACAGAGCATTTCTGTGGCAATTTGCAATAAACTTCACTACTCAAAAAGTAGTCTAGTCTTTTTTAATATGGTTCTGTGAGAAAACATTCACAAAAACCATGAAGCTATTTTGCATCATATCACAGAATCACAGATTATTCAGGAATGATTTCTCAGGGGATAAGGAGTTTAGCAGAAGTTCAACATTTTTGTTTTGCAGCAAAATACGTTTTGTGGTTATAACTAATGATAGCTTTCATGTATTTACTGCTTCTGATGTACTGACCACTGTTGTAAACACCACCCTGTGTATTGTATCATTTAGTTCTTATGAAGAACCCTATGAGGTAGTGCTATTATGACCTTTATTTTACTCACTAGGGAACGGACACAAAGAGAGACTGAGTTACTGATTCAAAAATGACATAAAAAATGGTGGATCCTTTGTGAGGATTAAATGAATTAGTGTAAATTAAATTAAGCTGGGCCTGCCATATATTAAACATTACATATGTTAGTTATTTTTATAAATAAAAAATAATATTATAAATAATATAAATAATAAGCTGTCAGTTTCCCTTAAAAAAATAATGATAGACCTGGGGCACCTGGGTGGCTCCATCAGTTAAGCAACCAACTCTTGACTTTCGCTTAGGTCATGATCTCAGGGTCATGGAGCCCTTATGTTGGGCTCCAGGCCCAATTAGCAGTTTACTTGAGATTCTCTCTCCCTCTCCCCTTCTCCCTGCTTGCACTCTCTAAATAAATAAATAAGGGGCACCTAGATGGCTCAGTCGGTTAAGCATCTGCCTTTGGCTCAGGTTATGATCCCAGAATCCTGGGGTCAAATCCTGTGAAGAACTCCCTGCTCAGTGGGAAGTCTGCTTCTCCCTCCACACCTACGCCCTGCGTGTGATCTCTCTCTCTCTGTCTCTCAGATAAAGAAATAAAATCTTTTTTAAAAACTTAAAAATAAATAAATAAATAAATAAATAAATAAATAAATAAATA